ATCTGGTAATGGAATCAAGGATTCCTCAAAAGGTACTGTAGCTCGTAATCCCAAATGAAACCCACAGAGAGGAGACAATAACAAGCAGGTAAAGTTCAGAGGTGGGAGGAAAACCCCGGAGCAGAAAATTCTGGGTAAAACCCACAGAGTCAGGTAGGGACTGAAAACCCAATCCACATTGGAATCTCATCCAGATCCACCCAAAGATTCTTCAGTGCAATCCACTGTCCGACTGGCAATGTGACTAAACATGTGCATTTTACTTGATACTCTGCGGTTGAGCACCAGCCGCAACCAGTGTGGAGTTGTACATGCTTTAGCCGGTACTTCGTGATCACAGACGGCAGTTTTGTCACTGCTCGGCGAAACGTGGGACCTGTGAAATGTGGCAGCCATGTTTCTGTCTCCTCTTGGAGGCTGCTGTAAACTGAAATGTGTTGAGTGGTTATCAATCTTCAGTCGGGTTTAGATGAAAGAGTTCTTTAAATCTGTTTCCGCACTTGGGACTAATTTGGTTAGATTGATTTTTTTGTTTCTCCCCGTGATTTTTACTAACTATTTTTCAAAGAGCTCTGGAAGTCCGATCTCTCTATTTTAATGTTGATGCTCAGTTCTTGTTGATTATTTAGTTTCTCTGTTGGTTTGATCAAAACAACCACGAAAAGATTCTGCACTTGCACCATTGTTGTTTTTTGTTATTTTAGCCTTCTAATTGCATGCTTCATCCTCGCTATTAACGTCACATTAACCCACATTTATTAACTCATTTTATTTTGGCACTCTCCTTTTTTTGTTTCCTATGTTTTGTTTTTTATCTTCAAGGTTGATCCAAACGACCAGGTTTCCAATTACACGGTTCTCATCAGGTTCCCGTCGGCAGAAGCAAGTCAGAGCGCCCTCAGTAGTCTATCTAGTGCCACTTTCACTCTTCAAGTTCCTGAGCGGGACTACAGTCAACGTTTATCACACCAGCTGTCAACATAGTCCACTTTTCTTTTTCTTTTTTTTTCATTTTTTTTGTAAATTACTACGATGGTTATTTTTTCAGCTTTTTAAAGCCTTTTAGTTTTAACAGCTGTTCTTAAACATTAAAAGCATCATGGAAATGAATTGATCCAGTACATTTGCCAGGAGAGCTTGTCAGTGAATGGAGACAACCAAGATTTGTATTTGAAATTGTGTGCGTCTTTCAAATTGATAGCAGAGCATTAAAGATCGCTGGGAATCGAGGAGGAATTAGGAAATGAAATTACTTAAAGACAGTCTTTGACCTTATGTTACATATGTCGTGTGGGTAGTTTTTTTGTAGTCGAGCATTGTTAGGTAGGATATCTTTGAAATGTTGTAGAGCACAATTTATATCACAGGATGGAAGTATATATGTAAGAATATATATTTTAATGTTTGAAAAGAAAAAGAGAATTTGCCCAGTTTTTTGGTTTCGTTTGGTGGTCGTGTGTCATGGGGCCGATTTCAATAACCAGAAATTCTGCTAAGTAGGTTTGTTTGACACTGCATGCTAAGTGCCAACCAGTGTTACTGTGTAAGTTCCACTGGAAGTTGGCCATTTAACGAGTAAGCATGTTTATTGTTCATTTACCGCTTAACAGGATTGCTTATTGAGAAACCGGTAACCCTCGTATTTCCCCTTGTGGTGCATTTTAATTTGGCTCTTTATTTTATCCTATTCCATTTTATGTTTGTCATCCAGAAGGTGAGAATGTTGAAACGATCCAGAACCTATGAAACTTACTAAATTCCTGAAATTGGAAATTCTCACCTAGCAACCAAAACTACACAAGAGTTTCTCGCCAATCTTTCTTCACTTTTTGTAATACCCAGTATTCCTGAGGCAAAGATACAGATTTACTTTTCTTGGCTCAAACTCCAGGATGGCAGAGTATGAGATCATCCCTGTCCAACCATGTCGGTTCCACTTTCCACACCTACTTCAAATTACAACTTCAAATGCTACCCCGAAAAACCCCCCATCTGAATAGCCCCATGAACCTTCCAAATGAGCGCTATGCCCGAAATCATTGCCAACCTTTTGCATGTACATGTTCTTTTCAATTCATTTTATTAGTCCAAGGATACGTTTCAAATCCAAACATGTTTTCAAACTGTGATCCAAAATTTCATCCTTGAAGATTTTTTTTCCAGGGGTGGGGGTGAATGTGCTTTTGAATTTTTTTTTTGGGGGGGGGTGTTTTAATTTTGAATGTGCAACTGTGTGTGTGTGTGATTTGAACTTTTTTAAGTACAGTCACTGCATGTGCAACCCGTATTCAGGCAACTTTTAGAGGTTACAGTGTGTAATCCTATTGTAGTATTGGTCATGTTAGGATATTGCAAACAGACTTGGCCCTTAGACGTTTTATTTATTTTACTATTTTATGGGGGAAGGGGGGTTGCTTGAAATCTGTATTTATGGGTCCTTGTTTCTTGTTGCTTCCAATTCATTTGCAGTATAGAATGAGCGTTAAGCCAGGGCCTGCAATATTGTCCTGGCATTTTTATGCATTTGAAAACCAACAAAATTGAGAAGGAAACTTCGAGCTGGTACTTTGCTTGAGAACATGGTTCCATACAAACTTTTTCCAAAATGCAGACTTCTCTTTGGCTTTTGAGACACAAACACTTCACAGAATTGTGTTGGATTGCAGTTATTTCAAGCAGGAGAACAACTGCAGGAATATTTGGATATTTCTGTCTTCAGTGTGTTAATATTTGTCCTGGTACTTTCTGTCAAACTATCATTTTTGTTTTCATCCTTATCTTTCCCCGTTGTTTCAGACCGTAGTTTATGATTTTTGTGGGGAAATTTGTCAAGCCCTCATCCCAATTCCTACCTGCCCAGATCCAGTGAAATTCGACACATTTTAGAGAAAGTATTTGGTGACTTCAAGCCCACGCACCACCATTACTATATATGGGCAGTGATGTCTAATTTGCCTCTGTACAAAGAACATGCCATTGGTTTTCGGACCATTTTGGATGATTTGGACAGGTTTCTAACAAAAATACCCTGGAAGTTAAAGTGAATCATTGTTGAACTTTAACCTTTGGCCATCAGTGACCCTTGACCTATGTACCTCATTCCCACCTAGTCGTCTGTCAGATTTCAGTATTTTGCCTCCTTGTGTCGATTTTGGGTGAATTGATAGACTTAAGAAAAGTCTGTGGTGTAATTCTTGTACTTCTTGCTGGCAAGGGTCATCAAATTCTGAAATACTGTCACAGAAAATTGTTATTAGTCATACTTAAGAATCTTTTTTTTTGTTTGGAGAAACATACTATTCTGGGTAGAGTTGATTACTTAATTTTTCCGTTCATGGTTGTGTGTTACTATTAGGTAGGTAAGTTTCATTTTGGGGAAGAATGACCTCAACTCTCTGCAAATTGGATGCCCTTGCATTTCCGGTGTGTAATTGTGTATTATACATATATGTAGGTTACGTTGCAATGGTTTTTTTTAAAAGTTACCAAATTGATATTTTTCAGATAGGTGAAAATTTTTTATTACTGAAGGATTGTTTCTTGTGAGTATTTCTCTGTAGCTCTAAAGGAAGCAATTCAGTAGGGTTTGGGAATGCAAGGTGTCGCTTATTTGGAAACAGGAAAAGGATTATGCATTGTTTTGTGCTGTGCTGTACGCACACGTTATATGCTGCCTATTCAACCAATCATTTGTGCCAAAAAAGGTGTTTTTTAATATGCACTGGTGTGGAAAAAAAAAAGTCAACATATTGGGAACCAGTTTCATGAAAATCACAAAGTAGTTTGCTGTCTTACAAGTCAAGTTGTTCAAATGTATCATTCCTCTCATGGATTGGACGGTCAAGATCAGCCTTTTATTGTATTTTGTGCCTGCAAACAAGTCTTATAAATTGCATATTCTAATTACAAATACGTGCCAGTCAATTTTTTTTAGATCGGTTGTGTTGTGATTTTCATGGAACTGGTACCCTGTGATTTTTTGCCTGGTAACCGTTGCGCACAAATGCAGTTTATATTGTAATTCCACTGACACTGGTCAAGCTGAGTACTTGTAGTCACAAGCAATAGCACCAGAATGAAGCCCTTTACATGGTAGTCGTAATATTGGCACACCTTCACAAGAGCCGTAGCAGCACCTCAGTTGTCACATTTGGAGCCGTGTCAATAGCAGCCTTGGGATAGCCGTCACCAACCGTGGAGATGGGACATGTTCTAGAGTAGTGCAATTTTGTTGGATCTGTTGATTGTGTAGATTTGGGTACCTGATAATAGGTCCATAGAAGTGGTGCCTAGCCATGGCCCCGAGCTGTGGTCCATGTCACATAGTAGCAGTCAGTGGTCCACAGAAATAGTGCCTGTCCATGGCCCGAAGCCGTGGGCCATGTCCCATGATAGCGATCTGTGGTCCATAGAAGTGATGCCAGACCATGGCCTTCAGCAGTCAGTGTCTTTTGGCAGTGGTCCATGGTCTACAGAAATGGTGCCTACCATGGCTTGTAGCATTGGTGCCAGCCCATGGCCCACAGCAGAGGTACCTGCAGCTGCCTCCTATGGCCCATAGCAGTGGTTGCTGCCAAGTAGCAGTTTTCCATGGCACATGGTCATGGCTCTTGGCATGTAGCTGTGGTCCTGACCCATGGAAGTGTTCAGCTGTGTTCCATGGCACATTGCTGTGGTCCGTTGCACATAGTTGTTGTCCACAACAAGTAACTGTGTTCTTTGACCCGTAGTGAATCCTAGCAATGGCATTGATGAGACCTATCAATCGGCTAGGCTTTTTCACAATAGCACTGGTGCCTATATCATGGCCTGTATCAGTGGTCAAAGACCTTGATCAGTAGTCCATGGCCCATAATAATGCACCTTTACTCTCAACAATGGTCCATGAACCATAGCAGTGGTCCACTGCCCATACTCTTGCCCGTAGTAGTGGTCCCTATTCATGATTTCCCAACCATGGCCCGTAGTGGTATTTTAAACCATTGAACCTACTCAGCTCTCCCACAAGTGCGCACAACTCAGTGAACTAGGCAAAGAGGGCCCCCAGCATATGAAGAGCAGGGCCCAATTTTATGGTGCTGCTTAACAGCAGAAAGTCGTGCTTACTGTAGCACAAAAATTTGCTAACTGTTGGCACTATTTCAGGACTGTGCTTAGCGTGGTTGTGCTCACAGTTGCACACGCGTAGAGATTTCCATTGTTGCATCACTAAGTTCAGCCAGTTTTTCCTCCGAGGTTAGCGTGCATTTTGCTGTGCTTACTGCTTACTTTCTCCATGAAATAAGCTGAGCCTCTGCTGGCAAAAAATTGTGTACTTAGCAGCACTGTGAAATTGGCCCCAGATCTTCAGAAATCACATGCTTTGCTTACTCCCATTAAAAACCAACAAAACTCAACCTAATCTATCAAAGAAGTTTGCTGATAAGCAAACTTGCAAGTTGAAAGGCAAGTTTCGAAGTTTTCGTGTACTTAATTTTGTGTGGCCAATTTTTTTTAAGGGAGAAAGTTAACTCATGGGGGGCATTGAACATAGAGAACTTGGGGTGACCTTCATGAGATCTGTTTTGCTCCTGGGGCATCTAGGCATAAGGCTGTCAATAACTCTCCTTTAAAATCACACCTTTAAAAAAATTTTGGTATATAGATTTGGCTGGTGTTGTTTGCTAAAGAAACGCGACCATAATTCACTCTGATTTTCTCCTCAAAAGTATTTCTGTAGAACAAGGACAAGGCCTCTTTTCAATTGACATTACATGAGAGTTCTTGGTTGGGATAGTAGAGAAGCCATCAAGCAAGACTATAACACAGGTGATATTATTTTACTTGTGTTCAATCATGATAACAGCATTTGATTGGTTTATATTTCCAATTCAGATAACTTAAATATCCTCTTTTATTAACTAAAATCGTCAGTTTTGACTCACTTTCTTCTGCTAAATCTAATCCCATTAGATCAAGTCCCAGCTGTCAGTCAACTAGTTTCCAGGCCCATTTAGAAATTGGCAATCATGAGAAGTTGGCAGTTGTTGAAGAATGTCGAAGCACTAGCTACTCACTGTTCTTTGCAACACTGTCGACAAACGTTCAAACACAGAATTCTGTCAGGTTCCATGATCCTGTGAGCTGAGATGTGTGCATAAGCCCCCCTCCAAACACCCTGACAAGCCCCTCCCCCCACCACCAAATGCCCTGATTATATATTTTTCACGTGGACAAAACATTCTACTTGCTTTCCCCAGACTAAGTCCTTCTGTTCATTTCAACCAATGCCAAGCCACTGAATACACGTACTTGTTTTAGAGGAAAAAACTGGGGGGGAAGAGAAGAGAACTTGTACATTTAATGTTTTCTGTATAAGTAGATGAAGTCAGCCCTTGTTCTGTATGAAAGTATGCGACGTATTGGCCGGTCTCTTTGCGGATCTCAGCAATGTGTCTGTAACATGTACATTACAAGTTGTGTGCAATGTGTAAATGGATTGAACAACAAATAAATTATTATGGAAGAAAAAAAAAAGAAGGCTGTGTTGTCCTTTTGTTTACAAATACGGCACAAGAGCAAATGACAGAATTGGCTTTCTGTTATTCTGGATATGCTTGTCGAGGAGAGATCGTGAGCATTTGTTAAATTTTACTGTCCCAGTGCTTGCACCGGTTTACAGATCATTTGATTGGTCCCATCTCTTCACTGATTGAGCCTAGATCTGTGTGAAATGATAAATTGGTGATTATGGTTATCATAAAAAAGAAGTCTGAATTATGAGAAGTACTAAGTATTTCTCCCAGAATAATCCGAGTTGTGATTCTAGACTGGTTTCACAGAGTTTCAGGAAACTCTCTGGACATTTGAAAGAAGTTCAGATTGTCATGCACATTTGCCAATGAATTCACAAAAATGATTCTAAACAAGCAAACCATGGGGGGTGAAGCTGGAAGACAGTTTGGACGACCCCTACTTCTTTCCTCTCTGCTAGGATCTTCATGCTTGACTCGCCACCCTCACCAGTCAAACCCAGTTTGAAATTATCAAAGTTTGGCACATAATTAAAACAAATCCAATCTGAGGAGTTCATGCATCAAATTGTTTGTTGAAACATGGGACCCTAGATCTGTTCAGAGCATGTAGTCTGCACCACATCCTGTTGACAGAAAGGATGACTTTACCACTTGGGTGCATAAATTGTACCTAATCTCCAAGGCAATTTAGATTTTGTCAGCTTATCCCAGATTAGATTTTAAGGTAGTGGTTTTCTGGACACTCTTAAGATATGGTTTTGCTGTCTTTGCATTGTCTTTGTTACTTTTTAAAGTTGTTTAATATGAGTAGATTCCTTTTAGAAGAAAAAGTTTCTACTAAAAGGGCTGAACATTTTCTAATGAAAGGTTGTGTTGCTAGTCCGTGTGATCATAATTCAATGTTACTTTTTTTGTGCACTGTTTTAATTCTCATCAGTTCTGGCTGTCCAATGTAATTTCTGACTTTCAAGATGCAGCCTTGACACTGAGAGTTGAGAGCTGCACATTATTCCCTTGGGCATAAAAATCCCAAGTTGACAGGTTAACCTTTGCTCCTACCAATCATGCCCCCATAAATGGAATGGTACAGTCCATCTCCAAGGCAAGAAAAGAGAGCTCATACCAGGCATTCTGGGCATACCAGGCATCCCAGAATGCACCTCTCTCTCTGGGCAGTCGGCCTTCCAAAGTTGTCTGTGCTGTGGTGAGCTGGTCCTTTTCTCCCTGTGTCTCCATCGGAGGTTGAAATTGCCAGGGCAGTCAGCGTTTTGGGCTGAAGGATCCTTGTGTCCATCGTTTCAATCTGGGCTTAGAACATTGAAAGAATTTCACCACAATGGTAAGCATCATTCCTTCTTGGTTTCTGTGAATTCTTGTGTGACTCACTTTATGAAAAGTTGTTAGACTGGATACTATGCACATTTACTATATTTTCCTGGGTTATAGAAATATTTATGCTCGTTACAAGTGTACCCTGGTATTCAATATTTACTATACATGTATACTTGTGCACATACGTTCTTTTATTTTGGAACATGATATTCAAAGGTAAACATAACTGTTGAGTCTGAATGTTACCATAAATCAGAAATAAATTTTTATAACGTGTTTCTTTAATGATTTTCATCTCTTGTAACTTCATATTAATTCATTGTTTTGATTAGAGACTTCAAGTCTCTGTACTATTTACATGGTGTGTAAACATGAAATACTAAGTGACCTAAGAAAGTAGCCACACCATAAATTTAGTCTTTGAGTTCTACTCATGATTTAATTTATTCCTAGATATTCCTAGCAGATTCTGTGATCATGAATTTTAGAAATTGCTGTTTTCAGTGCTGTGAAGCTAATAATCTTATTTGACACTTTTTATTTACAGGCACGTGAACCTGGTAAATTCACAGATGACCAGGTTGAAGGTATGTCATTATATATCCTGTAAAACTGTAATTGTGGATAAGCCATTGAAAGCAGTGATTTTCACTGTAAAAAAGATTTTACAGTAAGAACCTTGTAGTAAAAAAAGAACAAACCAGGCATATTGGTCACAGTGTCCGTTTTACAAGTGACAAATGGTCATCTTTCTCTTAAAAAACTCTACTGCTGATGTGGACCATTCTGAAAAGCTGATGGAAGGTTTTTGTGTGTTTTAGAACAAGTTTCTTTGCAAATCCTGTTGATTCGGGAACATCAGGGTTAAACCAAAGTTCCTTCACAAATTAAATTTGTCCTCATAGTTGTCGAGGGTTGAATTTGAGTGTGTATGAAAAGGGTCTTGATTTCTCTGATAGTTGTTAGCCTAGGTTGCAGTTTAGTGACAAAAAAGACAGACCTGTCAACTCATTTAGGTGCAAAAATATACATTTTTACACTTCCAATTATATTCACTTGGCGATAGACCATCCCTAACTGTAAATAAACCTTGACTCCAAGATATAAGCATTTGCTAAATAATAGCCAGCTTTAATTTCCCATATATTTGTCTAGTCTACCAGTAAAGGAGGTTGGGAAGAGTATTTGCTCAAAAAGAGTGTAAGGTTTAGTCAAAATAATGAGTCCGTGCGCATTTGAAATTTGGCCTTAACTTCAGTATTTGCATGGACCCATTGGGAAAACACAGGATTAGTTTACAGTTTCAGGTTGACAAATTTGAATAATGCCCGTTGCTCTCAAGGGCATTGCATAGCCCTGTACATAATGCCAGGGTTAATGCTGGTAACCCCTTTACTGTCAGGAATTCTGAAGTGTAGTTGAAATGGCATGATATTAACCTGAACTCTTGACCCTTTGGTAAGTTATCAGACAGGGTTGTGGGATGAATAAACACCCAAATGATGTGGCAAGAGAGGTCTTGGGACCTAACTTTGGAAGTGAAACACTTTGGTCCAGAAGTATTGAACTTGATTTTTTGTGATGGGTGAATCATATGCAGAATGTGGTCAAAATTTGTTGAATATTTACTTTTGGTATTAAAATTATTTTTTACACAAAATAAGGAAAGCCTAATATTTTGATCCTTGGAGAATTTTTCTCAAAGGCAAAAAGAAAGAAACAAATTATTTTTGCAAATGAATTGTGAAAATATTTGCTGTTGGAAGGAGCACTTGCATTGAGAAGCTTACTATTAAAAAGTAGTGACAGGGATACTTAATACTTTTGGGGAGAATATCCTGTCCTGTTTGAAAATGTGCTTTCAGAATCCCATGGTTATTACTGAGTGCAACTGATGTTCAAGAAATTGGAAATTCTAACAACCCTGGCAGGGTGTAATTTTGGACTAGACTAAACAACCAATATATTTGCAAAATGGATTAATACGGGTGTTGCTAGATCACCTAATACTCCTAATGTTTGCCAAGTTCTTGGCTTGTTTGCAGATCAATATTATACTAGATCTGTTCATTAATTTAGTGATGACAGACACAGTGACCTGTGCATGCATTGGCGCATCCGGTCAACTCTGGCAATTTGAACAGGAGAGTTAGGTGTCGGTAAGATTCATAGACTTTTCATGAGAAGGTGTTGAACCCTAAAAAGCAAACAACACAAACTCTTGAGAGCGACAAAAACAAAGAAAGAAATTAGGATGATGCCGTGTTTGTAGTTACTTACATTTTATGTCATAATTATTTGGAATTGGTGTGACAGTTCATCAAGTTCGTAAGACTGACAAGACACAAAATGTTACTTTGAGAAACCACTTTGTGAAATTGAGAGGGATCTCACAAAAGATTCAGTTTTTGAACTACTAAGGACATAAGCTCATTACTTTTGAATTTTCTCCATTTTAATGTGAAAACTATTTTTTTGTTTTTATTGAATTGATTTATTCAGAAAGTAAACAATGGAATTTCCAAGAAACAAACAGTCAAGACTTAAGTCAAATTCCAATTTTATTATATTCGGCATTTTTTAATATTATGCCAGTATAGAAGTAGCTACCATGGACCCCAGCACACAGTGCAGGTCACACGTTCCATTTATTGGAAAAAGAATAGCCAGTGAGCACTTTTGTAGGATATGTACTGGCTCAGATGCATGACTTTTTGAAAGGGAAGAGGGTTCAGGCCATTTAGAACCCCCCCCCTCCACCTGCCTGTGACCTCTAAGGATATCCAATAGAAGAGAAGCATACCTTTGAATTGGGAAGTCCCTTTAATGCTTCTGGCTTCCGCTTGTCTGGTATGTGAACTCCATGTATGGTGAGTGCCAATGGTATGGCCAGACACCACACACACATATTATACTGAGCTGGTTGCCCCACACCTTATTTGTACATGGCTTCTCCCTAGTATGCACTCAGAGAGAGAGAGAGACTGCGAGCAATGAGATAGTGCTCTTAGCTAGCTGGGCTGCATCTGACTAGTGATGGAGTCAGAGGCTGTATGACGCTGCCTCGTCAGCCTCTGGAAGATTAACAAGATCATGGCTATCAGAAGAAATAGCTGTGGCTCTTACCATAGGATGCTGTGCTAGGTGTTAGGATAATTTCGGAATTTTTAAAAGTGTTTCTTGAGTTTCAGCCTTTAACTTAAAAGAATCTCAAATTATATTTGATAGGCACTCTTATCTGGTTTCTTGGGACTGAGAAAGGTTTTGCATTTGCTGTAGGATGATAGACATTTGTCTTTCTGTGCATCTGTTTCAAACCTCAAAGTATCAGCACACTAAATGATATCGATGTATGATTTAGTTTGTTCGTACTTCCAAATTGCTATTTGAAGTGTAAAATAATGAAATCTAAATGTTGATGGTATCAACCCCATTCTGGAAGGCCGATTCAAAACTTCATTTTGTGCGCTCAGTGTTTACAACTACAGTGCGTTTGATAATGCAGCTGGCTTTACTGACATGTTTCATTTATTCCTTACCAACATGCTCAGTGATTTAATCAGAATTTAATCAAGACAGGGAGGCTGGTACTCTTTTTACAAAAAAAAAACATTTTTAGTGGCCTTGCATTCCACTATTTACTCAACTACAAAAATCTCAAATTCTTTCTGTAGCTTGATGGTTGCTAGTCACTCACAAGGAAGAGCTCAATAGTTTCTCTTTCTTGTGATAAGTGAATACTTGAAAAGATCCCACATAATGGGACTTGTTCCTTAATATTTCTGATGCCCAAAAGTCAAAGTTATGTCTCCTGTGTTAATGTCAATGACTTACAAAGCATGACTGCAGTACTGTTGTACATCTCTTTGCTGAAACAAACCAGAGAACTATTTGGTAGTACACTTGGCGTGCACTACAACATTGCTGCTTTTCTATTAAAAATGTCTTTATTTCTCTGTGCAGAGTTCAAGGAAATCTTCAATCTCTTTGATAAGATCGGAGACCACAAAATCCCCAGCACGGATGTTGGCAATGTCTGCCGGTGCATTGGCCACAACCCCACGCTGGCAGAGATCAAAAAGCTCATAGGCAAAGCTGATGAATGTAAGAATTGTTGAAGATGTGATCGCTTTACCTTGGAATGAATTATCCTTTTCTAAAACAAAATAGTGTAATCAAGACATTGAGGCATACATTGTATTTACTAGAAATAGTTTATTAATCAGGTTGGTGATGCATTTTTGCTAACATTTGTTGCTAACTTGAGAATATTATGTGATATCCTAAAATTGACATTGAGCTAGTTTTAAATTATTCTTATGCTTGCCTCAGAAGCAGGGACAACTAGAATTGAACTGATTTCCATTCATTTAGTGTTGCTTGTGAATCTTACTTTTTCAAAAACACAGCATGATTGGTCAAAGATCCCAAGCATTTTCAGTATTAAAATGTTCCGTTAGCCACAATCATAGGTTGCATTATTTGGCTATGAACAAATTAATTTCCTTGAACTCAAAACATGTTACATTGTACTTTGAATTCCAGTTGACAGAAGTGCTACAGTTGTACTGCCTTTAAGTAAGAGACTTATTAGGATAAGTGTCTTGTTTTGGATGCTTTTTGTCCTTTTAACCCACTTTAAGAGACAGTTGATATTGTGTTCTTGCTCTTTCAGATGACCGCTTCACGTTTGAGGAATTTCTTCCCATGTTGGTCGACGTGGCAAAAAGCAAAGAAGTGGGGGTGTTTGAGGATTACCTGGAGGGTCTCAAAGTGTTTGATAAGGAAGCGAATGGGTTGATCTCAGCTGCAGAGTTACGCCATGTTCTGACAGCTCTCGGTATGAACTATAGATTGTTTACAGGAACCCCCAAATGTCGCCCTGACTTAAAACCTCATTTGCAAAGACTGCAGTCAAGTTATCAGTTTCATTAACTTGATGATAGCATAATCTCAGACCAGCCTGGCTGTTGAATTGATTCTTGGCCCTGATGAAATCCTGTGATGTTAGAGATTTCTCTGTTTTCATACTTAGAGGAGCCTATCATGTTCCAGTGAGTCACACTCGGAACTGAATCATACGTGTTTAGTTTCTGCCATGATATTTTGGGAAGTTCTTCCGTAACAACATTATTTCAAGAAGATCAGCGTATTCTTTTTTTCTAAAACCCAATTCCTTTCAGAGGATTGGAAATAAATAGAAATAGGTCATGCATAGGCTGGCTGTTCAGAAGAGAAATTCACAATTTGTGTAGAAAGTGTTAAACTAGTTTCAAACCATTCAAAGGGATACTTTAAATTGAGTGTCCCACCTAGGACACTACCGTCAGAACAATCTCAGCCCCATCTTAAGTCTCAAAAATGTTAACTAATAGTTGGGCAATTTTAATACTTTTCTTCGCTGTAGGTGAGAAGCTTACGGATGATGAAATGGACATCCTGTTGGCTGGTCATGAGAATGAGAAAGGAATGATTGATTATGAAAGTAAGTAGGTCAAGAATAGGGAAACATGGACTAACAGGTGCTGCATATCACCAGCTAGTCAAGGGCAAATCCAGTGGGACTGAGGGGAGCCAGTGATGCTTTGTTCCCTCCAAAAGGAGTCCTCCAGTGTGTTTGTGAAAAGTGACCAGAGAAGGGCAGTTTTCTACTTTCTTTACTTTCCAAAAGCATAAAAACGGTAGCAAAATGTAGCCTCGATTGTCGGAAAGGCCATACAAGATTTTCAAACTTTTGACCCCCTCAAAAGAAAAATTTGGGGGGGGGGTTACAAAAAATTTGATTGTGGTTCTGTGAATTGGTGTTTTTGTTGTAATCATTTTGGCAAGTCAGTCAACATGGAATGGGCTCGTTTGTAGAAGGTGTGGACAGTATCATTACATGTCTGTCAGGCTTATCCTCAGGACTAGGACTCTACTTTGGCATTAATCCTTTGACCAGCATTTCAGGCATCGCTCGGGGTCCAGTAGATATTTATGGAAAGCAATATCTCTTCCAGAATGAGCCTGAAAAATTAATCCAGATTTGGACGTGGGTCTGGATTATTTTGCTTATTTAGTGGCTTAAAGTTAGATGAGCTAGGAGAACAAGTGTAATTGTTTCTTTGAGAAGATGGAAAGATTTTGGAAAACTGGGGGGTCCATTGCAGTGTATTTCTATATTTGAAAGCTTATTTACCCTTATTTAGACCAAAGATTCATCTGTGCAAAGCAGATGACATTGTAATTTTCCACCTCTCTTCTCTTCTGTCTTTCTGTAGAATGGATCAAGAGCATTATGGTCACGCTTCAAGACTAGCTGCTAGTCCCCATTCACTGCCTTACATCTGTCTGTTGGATTTTTAATGTGTTTGAAAAGATGTCTTCCAGAAAGTAAACCAAACCCTAAGAATGAAACTGCCGACTAAAGTTGATTTTGCTCAAGGGTCAATCTTGTAAATAAGACTCACTCAAGAAATCGACAGCATTTGAAGAACAAACAAGCCAAGTTTTAGTCCCTTTCTGTGCAGTGTTAACCAGCGATTTAAGATCTCACCCAAGGATTCCAAAACACTGTGCTTAAAGTGTTTTCCTCCTCCAGCACAATTCTAATGCTTGATCATATCCCAATCCTCGTGTTTTAGTCCATCTGCTATTTCAAGCAGTGTTTGTGTCAACCACTCGGCTTCAGTTGATGAATCTGACATTCAGGTTTAGAACTTACACCTCTTCAACGATTTAATAGTGTGCTAAGATTTCATGGAATTTCTTTAATAAATCCTCCTTTCCCAATCCAGCACTGAGTTACCTTCAACTGTGTTATGTAAACATGCCATTGTAACCAATTAATTAGTTATAGCTATCTCCGGCCTAAGTTACAAGTTAAGACATACAACAGGTTCGATTTGTGACAATCTATGTTAAATTCTCCTTTGCAATCAAAAGCTGGAAGAAATTAACAGTAAGATTCTCACCAAAGGGTATCAAAGATGATTTTCTAGCATGGTGGGGTTGGGTAATCTTTTGTACAGGATAATTTTAATTGTCACCTTCTACACTCAAAACACTTTTTTTCATGTGAATACAGAAATATATTTAAAAGTGTCAGGTTAGGTAATTATTTGAAATAGTTAACAGGCTAGATTGTGCAATTGTAGTTGATGTAGAAAATGATATTTATTTATCTCTTGCTATCAAACAGTTGGATAGCCTGTGTGTTCCAAACTCTTTATTTACAAAATGAGTGAGAAGAATTGACATGTGACTTGCCTAGGTTGTGATGAAATGGTTCACTTTAAATGCTAGCTAATGTACTATTTTGTACAGGAACGTATTGTGCAGAAGTTCTCAGACTTGATTACTCAAAAAAACTGGTAAAAAACTGTTGCATTTCATTAAAAACAATCTGTTATTTCAAGGTCTCTGAGAGATGCAGTCTGTTCTTAAGGTTGTACTGTTTCCTGTGCTGCCGTGGTTACCTTGTCATTTGCATAATTTATGCAGATAACATCTACATTTCGATCACATTTCCATCTTATACAAGTTGTTGCCAATAAGTAGCATTTGTATATGCAGTATTTTCTAAAATATTATACAGCTTACAGTCTCTATACAGTAGTAGCCATGGTAACAATGACAATGCAGTGCTATTATTTACATTTTCATGTAAGTGCAGCTTGTTAATGCAATATAAAATGAAACTTGCAGTTTCAAGCCACCATGACAGTTTTGATACACATCATTTTGCTTGTTGTTTTCAGGCATTTGTAATTTTGAAAAGAACATCTTGGTAACTAAACATTTAAATTCTCGGTAGAATTTCTCAGTTACCACCCAATTTACAGCGTATCTGAACATCCTCTGACCCATTCTACCAAGCAGGGGATCCCCTTTTGAATGTTGATCATAACAATTGGCCTTTGATGCTGAACAGGAAAATGGAAGTCTAATGTTTACTTTTCATCCGCGCAAGTTACGTATACTGTGAGCCGCTGCCTTCAAAACTGGACCCCACCCCCCCCAAAAAATAAGTGCATTCTGGATTGTTCAGCAACTGTTGGCATCCCCACCTTTTAGCTTCCTCGCAGCTTTCTATGAATATTGTTCATCAGCAAGAACTACAGTAGGGTGAGTTATTCTTTCAAGCCACCAGCAAGGTTAACTTGTTAACAAGAAT